CAAGCTCAGAGGCCGGCAAGGCAGGCGGGGAATGTTGGAGTCCTCCCTCACTGAAGCAAGCAAGCCTCATGTTAGTGGTCAGCTGCCTGGCTGCCCGCCACCATCTTGGCTGGCAGTTAATTTGCATATCTCCCTGATTAGCCAATGGGAAGGCTAGTGGTCGTACGCCAATTACCATGTTTCTCTTTTATTAGATAGGATTACACAGGGAGAACAAAGGGTAAATATTTAACTGCAGCAGTGTTTTTGACTACATTCTGCGCAGTGAGAAAACCTGATGTCATTTTCAAGGTTCCCCATTTCTTACTTCTTTTCAGTCGGGTCAAGTTTCTAAGCTTTCTAAATCTCCGTTTTCTGGCTAATGAAAAGAAAATAGGATTCCACCGGGTCTCCTATCTACCTACTCCAGGACTTCTATGAGGATCAAGGTGGACGAGGCACGGGAAAACGCTTCACAGACATTTGGTTACAGTGTAAAGTGTTCCCACCTGGCTATAAAGCAAGTCATGTACCTGGGCTGAAGAAACTGCAAGGAGGCTAGTCATTGCTAGGGAGAGGAAGCCGGCGTTGCTACGTGGCATCCTTACCCAGATGGGGAAGGATACTTAGCACATTAGCCTTTTATATACATAGATCACAGAACAAAAACAGAAGACTCACCAGAATGAAACAGAAACTGCTGTTTGGCTTCTCCTGTGTGGGCATCCCAAATTATTGCTGTCTGTGCTCCGCAAACAAAAAGGAAACATTAGTGATTGTTCCCCCGGCCAAGTTTTCTCTTGGAAAATTTATCACACAAGGTGAGGCAGTGAGCCCTGCCTCCTTTCACGCCAGCCCTGCCCAGTAAACACGGAATGTGAGCCACACGGGGAACTTTGTTTTGTAGAAAGCGCTCTAAAAAAAGAAAAAAACTATTAAAACTACCTTTCCTTTTTTCTTTTTTAGGGCTATGACTCAAATATGAACCAAGGTTGCTGCAGCCATAAAACTTTTTAACAACACGTTTTATTTCACTCCAGTATTGCCGAAATATTGTTTCAACATGCGTTCAGTATATACATGTTAGTGAGATCCTTGGCAGTCCTTTGTGCCTAGGTCTGTGGAGCCCAGTGCTTTATATGTAATAATCTTGAGAGCCATGTGTGTTGTTGGCAACTCCACAGAACACAGCAGCCACAACTGATAATTGGAAAACTATAAAAATTGGTGGGGATCGCCTCTCTCCCATCACAAGTTGAAAACTCATAATAAAGCTCATCTAAGTATCTTTCTGGCACTTTTCCGAATGAGGAGCTGAAGAAGAAATGGGCATTTCTGGAAACTGTCCTGTGCATTGGTCACGCCCTGAACTGGGGACAGTAGGCAGAGCAGAGCCACGCTGGCCTGTAAGGGGAGAAAAACCATCTCCCTGGAAAACAAACAAGAATCCTTATGAACCTCCTGATGCTGGGAAGACAGGGACGCACTGGAGGCAGCTCAGGGACACCACTGGGATTACGTCTTCATCAGCTCACTCAATTGGAAGCAATGCACCTCCCTGTCACTGACAATAAAGCTCTTGTTGAAAGTAGAACTAATTATAAGTAGTGTGGATTGTAGAAATGTTCAGAGGAAATACTCAGAGCAGTGAGTGCCTCTGAAACCAGACTCTCGCTGTAACCGGTTTGGCTCAGTGGATAGAGCGTTGGCCTGCGGACTGAAGGATCCCAGGTTCGATTCCAGCCAAGGGCATGTACCTTGGTTGCGGGCACATCCCCAGTAGGAGGCACATCCCCAGCAGGAGGCAGCTGATCGATGTTTCTCTCTCATCGATGTTTCTAACTCTCTATTCTTCTCCCTTCCTCTCTGTAAAAAATCAATAAAATATATTAAAAATAAATAAATAAATAATGTCCAAAAGGTACAAACAACACAAATGTCCACCAACATATGAATGGATAAACAAATGTGGTATATTCATACAATGGAATATAACTCAGCCATAAAAAAAAAAGAAAGAGAGAGAAACCTGACTCTCCACATTTTGGATCAGCTCTAGACCAGCGAACACCTTTTATTCATTTATTTGGTGGGCCTAACACTTTCACTCACAAACAAATCAGGTGCTGCAGAGAATACATAAACTCGCAAATCGGATGCCATTTCGCACACTACGTCAGTCATTTTGTTGATGTCTACGTTAAAATACCCTGGGCAAAAAGAAATTTATTTTCTAAAACAGCAAGTACTGTTAAGAATCTGAACTAGCCCCTTCGGGTTAAGCTTCCACTGAAGGTCAATGCCAGCATTCTCAGAAATTACACTTCCTCCTTGGGTACTGCTTTCTGAACATTATTATCTCTGCCGTGGCTGGCCAATAAAGGCAGACTGTGCATGGCCCAAAGACTGACAGAATTTCAAACGTGCACTTTCACTGACCAAACAGCTCATTGACCATCAGGTAGAAAATCAGAAATGAATACAAAAAAAGTAGCCCTGAGTCGGTAAGGAGGTGAGGATGCAAAGCACTGGCTAGGATTCCGTGAAAGGGCAGTAACTACTGTCTGGACCCAGAGCTTGCCTTCCAACCTATGTCCACTCCACACCATGCACCCCTAGGAAAGTCTGCAAGGCTCTCTGTGGCCTGGGGACCGTGCTCTGTGTGCCCATCTCCCATCCTGGAGCACCAAATGGGCCAACAGTGATGATGACCAGCCACGTACAAGACACAGTGGTATGTGGGTAACATCTGAATTAGGGCCCCTCAGCAAAAATTCGATGGTTGTTTCTGGAAAGCCTCTATGTGGCGTGCCAACCACAGTATCTCAGCTTTTTATATTAGACCAGAGGCCTGGTGCACGAAATTCGTGCACTGGGGGGTAAGGGACCCTCAGCTCAGCTTGTGCACTTTCATAGTCTGGGAGCCCTCAAGGGATGTCCTAATGTTGGCTTGGGCCTGCACCCCATGGGGAGCGGGCTTAAGCCACAGTCTCGCCATAGAGGCTTAGAGCAGTTGCCCCGTGTTTGTGTGTGTGTGTGTCCTCTAGGTGCCTGTATGAGGATGCCAAATTGGAACAAAGCGTTTACTGGAGAGAGAGAAAGAGAGAGAGAGAGAGAGAGAGAGAGAGAGAGAGAGAGAGAGAGAGAATATGCACAATTCAGTGACCTAGAGGGTCATACTCGAGTGTGGAGTTCAGCAAAGTTATTTTTGCCAAGGGCCAGATGGTCAATATTTTGGGCTTTGAGGCTGTCACTGAACTGTGCACCTCAACTGAATGGGGATGTTTTGCACAAACATCTGTGGAGTGTGTGACAAAGACATGACAGGCAGCCGGCCATCGTGATTCAGTGGTTGAATGTCAACCTTGAACCAGGAGGTTACGATTTGATTCCCGGTCAAGGCACATGTCTGAGTTGCAGGCTCAATCCCCAGTAGGGGTTGTGCAGGAGGCAGTCAATCAATGATTCTCTTTCATTATTGATGTTTCTATCTCTCCCTCACCCTTCCTCTCTTAAACCAATAAAAACATATTTTTAAAAAATATTTTAAATAAAAGAGATGATGGGCTATCAATGAACATCAAGGTCACAGCCAGGAAAACCAACAAGCACCACACAAGCTGCCTTGATGCCTGAAGGGGAAGCAGAAAGCCTCAGGATTCACAGAGACCACGATGCTACCTGGAGACTCAACACCAATAAGCATCTACAGTTCAGAGATGCACTGTAAGCGAGTACTCACTTTGTCCACGCCAGCGCTCACAATGTAATTCCCCTTTTTGTTCCACTTCAAGGCAAAGATGGGGCCTCTGCGTTGGCCTAAGGTTCTGGCCAGATTACCTGTGTGTAAGTAAACAAACAGCAAACACGCTGACTTCAAGGCCACAGCCCGGTCACACCGTGACTCCACACCAAAGCAGCTCTCCCCCGACCCCAACCCGAGGGCGGCAGGACTCACCGTCTTCCATCCAGATTCTTGCAAAACCATCATAGGAACCTGTTGCTAACAGCGTCCCATCGCTCTGTGGGCCAGAAAGAAACAGCTTAGCAGGGGCAGTTCTGACGAAGCGAAGAAAACCTCTTACCCCAGGGCTAGGTCATTCTGGCATCAATAATCGGTCCCCAGCCCAGCCGGTGTGGCTCAGTGGTTGAGTGTCGACCTATGAACCAGGAGGTCATGGTTCGATTCCCAGTCAGGGCGCATGCCTGGGTTGCGGACTCAATCCTCAGTAGGGGGCGTGCAAGAGCCAGCCGCTCAATGACTCTCTCATTATTGATGTTTCTATCTCTCCCTCTCCCTCTCCCTTCCTCTCTGAAGTCAATAAAAATATATTTTTTTAAAAATCAGTCCCCAGTTAAGAGACTCACCAGCCCCATTTAACTACTCATCTAACACACCTCTTAAATCCGCGGTTCTCAACCTGTGGGCCGCGACCCCTTTGGGGGCTGAGCGACCCTTTCACAGGGGTCGCCTAAGACCATCGGAAAACACATATATAATTACATATTGTTTTTGTGATTAATCACTATGCTTTAATTATGTTCAATTTGTAACAATGAAATTGGGGTCACCACAACATGAGGAACTGTATTAAAGGGTCGCGGCATTAGGACCCTTAAATGAATATGTAAGGCAGTGCTTCTCAACCTTCTGGCCCTTTAAATACAGTTCCTCATGTTGTGACCCAACCATAAAATTATTTTCGCTGCTACTTCATAACTGTAATGTTGCTACTGTTATGAATCCTAATGTAAATATCTGATATGCAGTACGGTCTTAGGTGACCCCTGTGAAAGGGTTGTTCGACTGCCAAAGGGTTGTTCGACCCACAAGTTGAGAACCACTGATGTAAGGTGTTACAGCCAAGGAGAAGAGGGGCAAGTAAAATCTGTTGCAACCATTCACCCCAATGACATAATTAAAAAGACCATATAAAAGCCCTGGCTGGTGTTTGTCAGGGGTTAGAGCATCGGCCTGAGCACCAAAGGGGCTCAGGTTTGATTCCCGGTCAAGGACATGTACCTGGGTTGCAGGTTTGATGCCCAGTCCCGGTCAGGGGGCGTTCAGAGGGCAACCAATGAATGTGTCTCTCTCACATCGATGTTTTTCTCTCCCTTCTTCCCTTCCAATCTCTCCAAAAAATCAATGGGAAAATAGCCTCAGGTGAGGATTAAGAACAACAAATAGCAGGCCAACAGATATGACACATTGGAGACTTTAGTGGGCCTTGAACACGTGTAGGAAAGGACAGAGTTTGTGACAAAATGACAGAGTTTGCATAAACACTTTAAAGAGCCAAAGAGAACGGCAAGGGAAGGTGTAGAGAGCTGTGTCCCACATGTCAATTGAAATACCAAGGCAGAGCCCTGGCCAGTGTGGCTCAGTGGGTGGGAGCATCGTCTTCTACACCAAAAGGCTGTGGGTCCAATTCCCAGTCAGGGCACATGCCCAGGTTGTCCCCATCAGCAACCAATCGGTGTTTCTCTCTCACATCAATATTTCTCCCCCCCCCCGCTCCCTTCCTCCCTCTCTAAAATCAATAAACATCCTCAGGTGAGGATTAAAAAGAATTGTTTAAAAGAAATACCAAGATGGACAGTCACGTTTCCTTGGCTGCTCGAAGACGTGGGCTAGTGCTGGGAGCGAGTGGTCACTGAGGACGCAGCCAGCCATCTGCCCGACACAACCTGGCTAGCGCTCGGGAAGGGAGCCCCCAGACACCAGCACCCCTGGGCCCCGCGCGGCAGCCCCGACGTGCAAGCGCCTGGGAGGCACTTGGTGCTTACGTTCCAGTCCAGCGAGGTCACATCTCTGTTACTGGGCACGTCCTGCCCCCTTTCTCGGATACAGTGCCGCAGCACGAGCTGGGCGGACGCTCCATTGCTGCTTCCGTTCAGGTTCCAGATCCGCGCAGTCGAATCTGTGGACCTGCAGAAGGAAAGGCGCTGCAGTCAGCTTTCAGCTCGCTCACGGGTTTTCTCCTTTTCCCCACCTTGCAACCCGCTTCAGCGTCCGCAGCAGAGGAGCAGAGGCAGGCGATGATTCCAGGCCAGTCTGCTCTGACATGGGCACCAGGAGAGACCCGGGGGACAGGCCAGCCATAAATCCAAAGCCATGCATGCGAACTGCTTTCTCTTTTCTCACTGGGTTCTCTCCGCACTATCTTTGCTGCCCTAATTTTAAATGCCGGCATTAAAAAATTTCCCCCCCGGGGGGGGGGGGAGGGGGGGGGGGAAATACAGCATGAGGAGGGCAGCACGGGTGCCCAGGCCTCAGTCTGCACACCTGGGAAGGTGCCCCAGGCAGGTGAGAGGGAGCAAGCTCCATGAGGCGGGACTGCAGTGCACAGCCAGCAGCTCGGACCCTGGCCCTGGAGCACCCCCAGGTGGGCGCCCTTACCCGGAGGCCAGGAGGTCACTGACGGGGCTCCAGGCACAGATGAAGACCTCGGACTCATGGCCCCGCAGGACCCTGGCTTTGTTGGGTGGGACCTCGACGTCCCCGTCTACTTCTGTTGTCTCCACTGGTTCCGAATGACTTTCTGTGGGAGGAAACAGAAGCCACGCGGTCAGCAACGCCGGAGAACAGTGTCGCTGGGCACTTCGCTTTCACACTCAGCCTTTCTGCATAAGATCACCTCTGACAAGCACAGCTAAACCACGGCTGTGTCACTCAGTAAATGTGTCATGTTGGCTTGCTAAGTACAAGGAGGGGCAAAAGTAGGTTTCCAGTTGTGAATATGCAAAACTTTATTCTCTTAGGATTATTTAATATTGTATGACTTTCTGTTAGGAACTGTAGCTTACTTTTGTCCCACCCTATATGTTATGTCGACTCCAAGTTGGACAGAGGAATAGAAAGAGTTATCTATTCTCCATAAGTAGGTCCAGGCTAATGTCTAACAGCCACGGGAAGGATCACGAGCAGACGGAGACGACATCGTTCAGAAAGAAATGTAACTCTGGACCCCGGTCTGGCCGCAGCCTGCCCGGCAGCAGCATGGAGCCGAGGGCAGAAAGGTGCAGGCCTCGGGACGAAAGTGACCTGGAAAACGGCCGACCGAGTCCCAGGAGGGGCTGCTGCTCGGAGTGTGGGAACTCACCCACAGGCACTCACGCAATGCACACCGTCTGTCTCGAGACATGGTGTGCTTCAAGGGACAGCCATGTCTGTGTAGCCATGTTTCACTATTTTCTTAATATTTAAAAGAAGTCTGTGTAATTTTAAAGTTTGGGCCCTGGCCGGGTAGCTGAGTTGGTTACAGCATCATCCCAACACACCAAGGTTAAGGGTTCAATCCCCGGTCAGGGCACACACAAGTATCAAGTGATGACTGCAAAAATGAGTGGAACAACAAACTGCTGTATCTCTCTCTCTAAAATAAATCAATTACAAAAACTTCAAAGAGTTTGCAAACTTCCTGTCCCGGCAAACATACAGATATCTCAAAGCTCACCAAGTACAAGTGCGTTTCGGAGAAGGAAGACTCAAAAAAGAACGTCGTCTGTTTTCTGTTTGATTTTGAAACCCAAGGGCTGTTCCTCACATGAGGGGCAGCCACTGAACGACCTGAGGTCCAGGCTACCCATGTTCCTCTTCTTGCTCCACCCAGCATTTCGGATCTTGTGCACCTGACTATGGAGCCACTGGTGGGAAGCCTTTCCATTTTACTAGACAGATGGCCTTTGCGCCGTCCTACTGCGGTACAATCGCCCCACTGCCTGCCAGGGAGGCCCACTCCACGCTGGAGCCGACTTGCTAGCCGGAGAGAGATGTGAAGAATTCATTGGCCTGCGCCTGTGCACAATAACCTGACATGGGCTGGGCTGCGGCTGCAGCCTCATCTGAGGTGGCTGGCCAGCTGTAGGTGAGGAGGCCACGGGGTGAGGTGTCAACACCATGGTCAACTCAGTCCTCAGGGACAGTGTGGCTGCAGGGCTGATCCGAGTGGAGCAAATTCCAACCAAGGGAGAACATTCACATCTGCATAGTACATGTGCACACTTGCATACACACACACACACACACACACATGCACACACACATTACACACATATACATGCACACCCACAGATGCACACATTCACGAGCATAATATACATGCACACATATGCATTCACACACAGAGATGCACACATACAAACTTACACACACATGTGGCCAGGGCTATTGCTTTTCCATTTAAAGCTTAAGCTTCGTTTCACGATTGCTACTAGAACCAAAGCAAAGCAAAAACAAAATTGACTTTGTACAACCCTCCCTCTTTCTGAGAATAGTAACTCCTATCTGATGATGTTTTCAAGACACTCTATACAATTTTACACAAATTGAAGGCATGGCTACAAAAATAAAAATGTTACTGCTTATGAAGACAATTCATATACAATCTTAAGACAACAAAGAATAACAAGAAATTTTTGAGAACATGGAAAAGATTTATTCGATTACACAACAGGTTTTTATTCTCTGGTGCAGTTAATTTGGCAGCAGCCACTTACCTGGAATGGTTATTAATCTATGCAAAATTAGGCAGCTGACGCATTGGATGAGTTACAGTTTTGTGGTGATTAACACATATATATTGGGCTGCAGCTTGCAGCTGAATTACAAGGCCGAGTCTGGCCTTCAATGCTATTGTAACTGGGTCCCCAAAACTGTCTAGCATTCACCCTGTCTCCTTTAGAAGCACTTAGGACAGAGCATAGAAAACACACAGGAGCAAAGCAAGCCATGTGTTGTCAGGATCTGCTGGGGAGAACAGATGCCCGGGGGAGGGAGACACCAGGTGCATCTAGACAGCACCTGCCCACTGTCTAAACGCACCTGGGCACAGAGAGATCCAGGTATGCCCTGGACGCACCTGTTACCTCCGTGGAACTTTCTGGAGGTGCCGCCCACATGTAGGAGCTGGGGCTCCCATCCCTACTCAGCCCTGAACTCCACCGGGCGGGGTGGGAGTGGTGGCAGCACTTGCAGCTACACTAGTTCAGGTGCTCTCTGCAGCATCCTCCATGCAAACACCAGGTGGAACCTCCTGAGACTCCGGGGTACCACTCAGAGCCCTTGATTTCATCGCACCAGCAGCCCAAGGCCCTTCTGCTGCCAGAGAGACCCCTGCCATCAAGTCCTGCTTAAAAACAGCCCAGGGCCCCGGGTGCCCTTGGAGCAAGGCCTGGGTTCCTGCCCGACTGCCCACCGAGATCTCCTCGCCTTCCTCTAACCTGCAGGAAATCGGCTGTGGGCGGGCCCAGCACCAACACAACTGGATCCCTGCACGGTTTTTGTGGGGTTTGTGAGGGGCCTTCCTGGTCCGCCTCCTCTCAGCAACGTCTGGGCAATTCAAGAATAAGGCTGGGCCCAGCCAGTGTAGCTCAGTGGTCGACTGTTGACCTATGAACCAGGAGGTCATGCCTGGGTTGCAGGATGATCCCCAGTGTGGAGCCTGTTTCTACCTCTCTGTCCCTCTCCCTTCTTCTCTGAAGTCAATAAAAATATATATTAAAAAAAAAAAAGGAATAAGGCTGAACACCTCGATCCATTTCCTTTGATCCTATGAGCCGTAACTCACATTCCATACACCTCACCATTTGCAGCGTACAGCTCAGTGGTTTTCAGTATACCCAGTGCTGTGCAACCGTCACCAGTACCTAATGCCCAGACATGTCACTGCCCCAAAAGAAGCCCGTGGGCATTAGGAGATTCTTCCCAGTCCCTCGCCCCCATCCCCTGGCAACCGCCAATTTGCTCTTCGTCCCAATGCGCTTGCCTATGTTGGACATGTGATATCCACGGGATCCTACAGCACGTTCTGACCTGTCTTCACTTCAAGCACTAAACACACACTAGCAAAAGCGCTGGTGTGCGGTCACGGCAGGAGCGTGCCATTTACATGCCAGAGACTCTTGCTTCATGAGGTGTTAGAAGTAATCACCTTCTGGGACCAGGGGCTCCGGGGGGAGTTCATCACAAGGCAGCAGAAGGCCATTGCACCCCAAACTCCCGCATTCACCCCTCGTCGCTACCCATCCATTCAGGCCAGGCTGCAGTTGGACAAGTTCCCTGCCGCTCCCCACCTCCTCTGCGGGTCCAGAGAAGTGTTGCTTTAGAAACTGGTTCTTACTTCATGTGCACAAGACCACGTGACCTCCTTGTTACCATTCAAATTCTGGGGCCACAACCGTGATTGAGGGTCTGCACTGTTCCTTCTGACGCGATCGGCGGGAGGCCTCGGCTCTTGACAGTAGTTCTCAAACCGGAGCCACTGAATTCACCTGGACAATTCCCCACCAACTCCCAGTCTAGGGTTCAGTAGTTCAAGGGGGGTCCAAGAGCTTGCACTTCTAGTAAGTTCCCCATGATATTCAGGCTGCCAGTCTGGGAACGAGGATTTGGCCGCTGGCAGCCATCCCATCCCCAGCCAGCGGCCAAATCCTGCCAGCTGCCTGCTCTTGTCCATGAGGTTTTAGGGCACAGTCTCTGTGGCTATTTCCACGCTGTAATAGTGGAGGAGAGAACTGGGCACACAAAGCCAAACATATTCACTTTCTGGCCCTTTGTAGAAAAAGTGTGACCACTAGTTTATAGAAAACCACCCAAATATTAGAAATATCCTGAGCGTGTCTATTGTCAGGTTGAAATTTCTGGTTCTCCCTTGGATTTCAGAGAATTGGGGGATGTAATTTTATAACATCCCAACAGACCTGACACAAAATCAATTGTGGCGAGAACAATGAATGTCAACAGAAAACGTTCAGCCCTGCTGGCCGGCCTGCAGACTGAAGGGTCCTGGGTTTGAGGCCAGTCAGGGGCATGCACCTCACTTGCAGGCTCGATCCCAGGCCCTGGTTGGGGGACGGTGTGGGAGGCAACAAATTGATGTGTCTCTCTCCCATCGATGTTTCTCTCTGCCTCTCCCGCTCCCTGCCACTCTCTCTAAGAATCAATGGAAAAATAACCTGAGGATTAACAAGAGAAAACGTTCACAAACTCTGCAGTGCTATGTGAAGATGGTATCAAACCCCTACCACCCTGCAAAGGTCAAGTTCACTGAGGGCGCCCCTGTAGCCTGGGCTCATGAAACAGAACCAGAGGATTCAAGACATATACGTCCCTTTTTGCTGGAAGCTGTTACTGGAAAGAGGAAAGAGAAAGGGAAGGGAGGGGGCGGGATAGGAGCTCACTTCCCAGAGGGCAATGCCTTGCTAAACTGTTACTGCCCTTGGCCAGGAGCAGCCCTGCGGGGCATCCTACCCTAGAGTCACACTGCAGTGGGGCAAAGGGCATCTCCGATGATGCCCACAGAAAGGAGTTCCACAATGCACTGGGAGGAAGGGACAATGTTGTCCTCCCTGGAGGGTCTGTCCACAGTGTCCATGCAATCAGCATGCAAGAAAGTTTCCCCTGAGGACGGGCAGTGTGTGCAGTCCCCCCTTTTGGCAAAGGTCCACCCTCACTGGCAAAGCGGGACACTAACGGAGTCCGCTTCCCGGGCATGTTGGAGCACCCCACGCTCATGCTGAGCGAGCAGCAGCAGCAGCTTTAGACACTGTTACTACAACCCGGAGGTGGGAGACGATGCCGGGCACTGGGACACGTGTCCAGGGTGTTCTGAGAGCCCAGGTGAGCCCACACTTGTCCAAACAGGGCCCCGTTCCCATTCCCCAGGTATCGTTAAGACAAAAATCCCGAGCCCTGGCTGGCGTGGCTCGGTTGGGCAACATTCCATGCACCAAAAGGCTGCCAGTTCAATCCCTGTCAAAGGCACGCACCCATGTTGCAAGCTCGATCCCTGGTAGGGAGCATGCAGGAGGCAGCTGATCGATGTTCTGCTCTCACATCTATGTTTCTCTCTCCCTCTCCTATCCTCCCTAAAATCAATAAACTATTCTTAAGCTAAAAAAGTACCCCCGTTGCCCTAACTGGTTTGACTCAATGGATACAGCATCGGCCTGTGGACTCAAGGGTCCCAGGTTCGATTCCAGTCAAGGGCATGTACCTTGGTTGAGGGCACATACCCAGTAGGGAGTGTGCAGGAGGCAGCTGATCGATGTTTCTCTCTCATCGATGTTTCTGACTCTCTATCTCTCTCCTTTCCTCTCTGTAAAGACTCAATAAAATGTATTAAAAAAAAAAGAATCAATAAAA